GATAACATAAAATTCAATTGGATTTAAATAATAGATTAGTAATAGGAATGTGTTTGCTGGCTCTGCAAAAATTATTCCAATGTGTCCGACATCCAATTAAAAAATGTCTGAATTTTTTAAGTATCGTTTTTCCTCAAAATGTACGTTTTCAGGAAAGGAAATCGCAACTTCTTCTTTGAGTTTCAACGTAAATCCATAAATTTTGTTTTTAATTATAAAGCTCTTAGTGATGTGCAACTTTCTTCCGACCAGACTCTTCATATACGCTTCCTGTGAAGAAAAAAGTCGCAAGTAGTGCTGTCGACTGAAGAATCTTTTTTCACATATGACTTGATTTTCCTTTAGAGTGCGGTTGATGGTGTGAATAAAGAGAAAACGCTCATCTACCCACCCTTAAAATAGTTCTTCGTCATAAATGAAATTCAAACTTATAAGAGGCAAAAAACAATCGCTCTAGCGTCTCTCTACCCGTCTGTCTCATTAAGCTGAAACTTCCCCACATATGCTAGGCCTGTTTGGGGTGCAAATTTCTATCGGTTTCTTTTTCTTTTGTCTCCCTTAAATAAAAATGATAATGGAGGAGGCTCACACTAAAAAAAACATAGCTCGTTTTTACTAGATCTCAGGTTGTATAATCTGCATAACACTTTTTGGAACAAAAAAAAACAATCGAAACTGTGTCTAGTATACCTGAAAACGTTTCAGCCTTATCGAATGTAACATGTGCGAGAAATGGAGTCGATTCTACACTTTCTCGTAGAGAAATTTTTTCCGACAAAATAACGGAAAGTACTGCGAAAGACAATGCTCTCTAAATATGAGGATTTCTATTTTACGAAAGATATCGACGAAACATTTTTATGCTTGACAACCTGGGAGAAGAATAATTGATTCTCAAAGCACTTTTGAAGTGCGAAAAAAGCTGTTGTTTTCATGAGACTCTCGTATGCAATCAAACGATCATAGAATTTCTTTCGCTAGGCATTGCAAAGTCGGTTCTTATGAAAGTGTGCATACCTCGTCTGTTTACGGCATTCGATCGAGCACACTTGGGAGCTATACTAAAAATGAAAAAGTCGAAAGCGAAAAGGCTGAGTTTTGAAACTCGAAAAGGATACGTCCTGTCGTGGTATACTTTCATCAATGCTAACTATTTTTCATTCTTCTCTTTTTTAGTGACGAATACTGGAAAATTCTCCTACCGAATTCAGATCACAGTAAATGTTCTAAAACAAAAGCTGTGCAGAGAGGTGGTTTCGGCTAGAGGGTGATCATCAAAAAAATTTTCAAAAAGTCGAATTTTGAGCCGAAATTTTCTTTTATTCTGACTATGTGATACTCAAACTTCTTATTTGAGAGTGAATTAAAATAGAATATGTCTTGTAAAGAGAGAACAATAAGCAGAGAATAACTAACCAGTGGAGTGATCGTAACGTTTGATCCAAGACTGTATAGAAGAAACTCCTAGATTTATAGTATACTAGCAAGGAACCTGTAACTTCGCTCCTGGTCGTGTGCAGTCAAACTTCTTTATTATTAGAAACAAACGAAATAGTACTGTAGAAAAAAATAGGGTTTGCGCAAATGTCAAAATTGAGCGCATAGAATTTTGTTGTATTCAAAAACAAAAGTGCGCAGCTGAAATAAGCTTTACTTCGTAGATTGTAGAGTATTTCATGCTGCGTCTGGTAGTGATATTTATTTGTTTAATAAAATGCATTTGGATATTAAAATATGCAATGCAAAGTGTGGCCTTTTATTATGAGTCTTTCGTTAACATCTCACTCATGTAGAGTTCTGGATGCTTCTAAACAATACCAATTACATTTTAGGACGCTTTAGACCTTTCTAGGAAGGCATTTTAGCACTTGTCAGAATCTTCTGCATATTTCAGAATAGCAGTAAATAGCAGTAAATTTTTCAGCAACAGTCTTGACCATTAACTGTTAACCTCTGATCTTTTCTGAGACAATGGTTCATTGACCTCTTCTGAGTTTATGTTTTTTCAACATTTGACCTTTAATCTTTAACTTTTAACCTGGTAACAGATAGACATGTGGACAACCGCGTTTTATTATATAGGTATGGGTTATTTCATATGACGGGATCGTTTTATCCATGGATAAGCATTTTTTTCGAGACTCTGTTATCACTTAACTTCTTAGTTGACTTCTACTAGTCGCTCAGCCCGGGTTCTTCAGTTAAGTGTGACAAGAAAACTCCCTCTGTATCCTAAACTAAACAAAGTGCCAATTCACTATGTGTAATATATTTAAAATAATGATTAAAAATACATGTACAAGAATTACAAGAAGTAAGGAGACCACTAACTGGTCCGTCGACTTACTAACTCTGTATTCTAAAAACAGTCTAACACACAGTAAAAAATGTATGATTTCTTGTCTATATATATATATCCAAAAGAACAAAGACATGTGACATAAAGAAAAAACTAGAAAGAGATAGTTAAGGATGATGCAATATATAGACCTAGAATAATAGTGATCACAACTGGACGAGAAAAATACAATAGATGAACGAAATAAAATAGACGAAATAGAAAAAAGAAAATAGAGAGACGAAAAGTAAACTACAGTCAGTATGATACTAAAAGATCACGCGTACACACATGTGAAGAGAGGTAAGACAAAAAATAGAAAACTAAATACTAAAGAAAACGAAAGGACTAGAGCCTTAAGTGCACCCGACTTAACACCCTCTCTGCCCCAGAAGGATGTAACATCCATCCGAAAGATATAACGACTAGAAGAAGAAAGGCAAACGGTCCCGGAAAGATGTAAAAAATAGAAAAGAAAAAGATACAACAAAAACAAAGAAAACAGACGATTGCGTGAATAAATGGACTTGTAATTGTACTGCGATCACCACCCAGTATTCACGGCTGCGGCTGACTTTGCTGCTGCTGTTGTGCCCCAAACGATTGCACAAAATCTCGACGAGTAAAATAAAATGACGATGAGGACGTTTCATAGTTGTGGAGATCATCTGACCCTTTAACACCAATATGCAGCCACTGATGTTGCACTATTACTACTCGTCTCCACGATAACCCTATGGATCTTAAAAAATCCTTGACCTGTTGTACTGTAAATCGATAATAAATGGGACGAACGACGGACCGCCTAAAATCTCCGTCGCGACGTCGTCGACTATTAAGTCGATTGCGTTGTATTCGTTGTTCTTCTGTAAGTGATCGTCGCGGTTGCTGATGTTGTGAAGGTGGTAAGGAGGAGTTCACTGGTGGGGTAGATAAGGTTGATGGAGTAGGTATTGATGTAGATGGTAAAGACATAACGGAATTTGCCAAGGCCACTACTGGCTTTGGACTTATCGATGATGTAGCTACTGACCTTGATGTGGACTTTTCCACTATTGTACAAATTAACGATTATTGATGATGTTGTTCGTTGTTGGTCTGCCTGTTGGTTCAATTCTTCGTTGACCGTACTACTTCTGGTATTTTTCTTCTTGAGATACTGTTGTTTTTGTTGAAAAATATATAAAACCGATAAGACATCGTTCACTGCATATTGTTCCATTTTAAGACGTAATGATTCTTGTTGTGAACGTAAAACAGGATCCCCAAATTTCCACGTCCCCAGATTGAGATCGATTCCACCAGACCATTTAGCACATGTGTACGTCTTATCTAAAAATTGCTCAAATCCAAGGGCAATTGCACGTTGAAGTGACTAAGCGTTCGGATTGTGAGGGTCTTTGTATGGTCGAAATTCACATGTGCATAATTCATGATCTGGGTCATAATCAAATTCCAAACTGTCCTGTGGAGCAGCTAAAACTAATTCATCATCTGCTAATGAAATTTGGTCCAAAACAGGACAATTTGGTGCATGCGGATGAGTATGATTACAATATGACCGAAATTCTTTTTGCATATTTCGGATACGCACGATATTGGACATTTTAAATAAATTAAATTGCCGAAATTTCTCTAATTCATCATCAATCCTACCCCACGCAATGAACTCGTGCTGTTGTTGGAAAATAACATCACATAATTGTTTGATCAATTGTCAACATTCTTTCTTCATCTGTTTTCATCTCTCATGACCACGAAGAATGTTGACTCAGTTCTGGTTGAGTCAACATTCTTTCTTAATATATATATACAGTGTTTGTTTGTACAGAGGAGAAGTTCTTGGTTTTAACGTTTTATGATTTTATTCTTACGAATAAAGTATGTGCGGGCTAACAACGGGTGCACTAGCCGGCTTACTGTCAATTCAACATCACAATAAGTGCAAGCAATCCAAATAATCCAATCACTATCATTAGCCGGCGTGCTTCCATCATTGTGGCATTATGAATATGAATGGGGCATGTTGATTTATTACCGATCAATACAATATTGAAAAATTCACCTGGATTTTTGGGATATGTAGAGACACTGTTATTCCGGGCCATTTTGACAGATATAAGAAAATTTAGTGGCACAAAAACGGAAAATTTAAATGATTGGCTATTAATTCTCAATCATAAATTCGATTCGTGTGGATCAACGGAAGAGCAACGTCGGAAGTGGGCACCGTTATTTTTCTGTGATGATGCATTAAAGTGGCACAACCAAGAAGGGTTTAAGATCGATTCATGGAGTGATTATCAAAACTTATTGACACACGAGTTTGTTTTATCACCAAAACAATCGGTGAACATTGGTCTATTAGACGGACTACGTGAAAACACTATATTCGTTAGGAATGAATTTCGTTCAATTCATTAGTTTCATTCTCAACATGAATGTGACTATTTATTATCAAAAGACGGTCATTATCTGTCTGATTGCAGTGATACGGCGCAGTTGTCATTTTTGGCGGACACTTATTATAGCGTAGCCGCAGAAAACATTTGGCCAATTGGAACCGAATCGTGGCATTTTCAGGAACAACGACAACCTACTGTATATTTACGAACAGTTTCAGAAGCTTCCCAACTAGCCGAAAGTGCTCTAGAGAAGGAAATAACAACTGCACAATCGCAGTCAGAATTAGCAGTGACATCGAAGAGTACTCCTCTACCGGACCCACATTCAACGCCATTGTTTCCTTCTAACACAAAGTCACTGGTTTTACGACATCGTAATCTATCACATGAATTGCCTGAAAAATCTCCACGAACTGTACCTTCGTCATCATCGCTTCGTGAAACATTACCGTCATTTATAACAGCAATTATTATTGCTTTGACGCTATGGTCATCTAAAGCACATCGTCGTTTTTTCTATATGTATGATGGCGACGGACCAAGATCAATGCAGCTGCATAGTGTACCCGAACTTTGGTACTTTATGGTACCCTAATCCAGCTCCGTGAGAACCGTTATCCCATTGAATATTTTAGCATACTGGTTTCCTTACGGCTCTGATATACACAACGTTTGTCTGGTTCTTGTTCTAAAGTTTTCTTTTTGTTGTTTATATCGTTGGGTATCAGTTCATTTTCATGTAAAACGGGATAACGAAATGTTCGATTATTACATGTAGGTCTCATTAGGCTTTCTTGCCCAGTTTTGATCTCAAGAAATTGATCACAAATTGGTAACGAATTCTGATAACTCGTTTTTAGTGGTTGAACAGTGAAATGTCGACTGAAGATTTACTGATTCTTGAGATATTTTAAGTGACATACTTGTCTTACAGACATTCCTGTCTTTAAGAACAGAAAGTAAAGTCTTTCTATCCGTTATGATCTTCTAGTAAATTCTTTTACAAATCATCTGTCAACGTCATTCCATATTCTTTTGGCCTTTTTCTGTAAAAATACCGTTAGGCATATATTGCAAATATTTGGTCTTGTTCATCGCGATCTCCAGAGCTACGTCAGATACAGTAAGGAGCATTGTATTCCGAACGTTTGACCAAACTATGATGGTCTCACAATCTTGACTATAAAATTCTCGTAATGACAAAATGCTGATTTCAAACAAGTCAGTTTTTTCGATGATTAGACTGTTGTCTCAATATTGATGACGGTCTTGATTGTCATTCTCATCTGTCATTGGTTGACATTTTTTTTCATAACTGAACAATCGGTGATCATGTTCGTATCATTGACAACATAGTTCTTTAATACTTATACTCATTAGTTGGCTGTAGTTCAAGACTTATTCTTTCGATAAGGGTTTTCTTTAATGGTAAGAGGAAATTTACTTTTATTGCTTGTAATATGATCAATGATATGACATAGTGTCGATGTCTCCAAGAGTTCAAGATATTGTAAAAAAAGTAACTATAATAATAGAAAAATAATCTCACACTGCTGTAACCAGTCGATCCTATTGAGTCGCCATAATATTAACAATTAAGTTAAATTGAGCCAAATGTTCGTGTGAATATACTCTTGATGCAGACTATTGTCATGAAGATTGTATAACATCATTTGAAAGTACGACTCGCAGACAATAAAAATTCTCTGTAGAGAATTCTATCTTTAAAGACTTTGCATTAGTTTTAATGAATAATAATCTTATTAAAGCTTTGATATCTATGAAGTACATGAAGAATCTGTCGATCTAACAAGCTACATATGTAGAAGATCCCTGTAGTTTTAAGAGCATGATTTGTAACATTTCTGAAAGCATACAAAATAGTGCTGTTCAAATTTTTACTATTACTTTTTTTCGCTCTAAACGAACTTTAGAAAGGTATCTTATCTATCTTACTGATCTATCTCAATTATCGAAATTTCGTTAGGTTTGGAAAATTGGTCGTAGACTTTCAGAGTTTTCTGCATTTCTGTGTCCTAGATTAATTTTATGAATACCGAAGGTGGCACCATGAATTTTTGGAAGTATCGATAATCTTTTGTTTGAATATAACTGGAAACGTTTGCCGCTTTCTTCCGACCGCTCATTTCACAGTGAGCAATCAGATGAGCCTTATGTTAGAAAACGAAAGGAAGATTTTTGGGATTTTAAACGATGCTTCGCATACAATAGTCAATGGCAAATTACATGACGAAAAAATTCAGTCCTAACATTTAACGTCGTCTGTAAATGTGAGGTGCAAAACTTTGGCTTTTTCACGCTAGTTTCGTGAATAACGGATTTTTGAGTAGAACGAACTGAATATCAGTAATTAAACACCTTATGTTCCTAAAGCTAAGCTGCCAAGCTATCAATTTATTTTAAAAAGTTTCATCGGCACCGTCTTTCTGTGCATAAATATAAGCATTTTCGTGATGCTGATGATCATTCCACAATCAAGGAGCAATAAAGTAAAATTTCTAAATTTCCTTAAAGTTCACTCTTAATAAAACTTTCAAAAATATTCCTTTACATATAACATATCTACGTTGTCAACGCGACGATGCGTAAATCGTCTTATGTGAAGTTATAGGTTTTCCAAATATCTGAATTGTTCTGAGTTTTCATACTTTTCTTAAGAAAATAATGACAGATTTAGAACCAGCATTTAAAACTACTTCTAATGCTGTATCACTCGATTGTGTTAGAGGAAGTTCCCTCAATTTTTGAAAAATGTGAGTTCTGGGGTCTTTTCACTGTAATTTTGGCTTCAGCTTTTCTGATAGGTACTGGACGAGCCAATAAAATCACTAAACTCAATTTTTATTGATTTTTCATTGTAAAGAATCTAATAGTATGATGCTAAATATTTTCACACGATCTACCAAAGCTTTTTTACAGTTCATTTTTCCAGAAAACCCGTAAAAATCGTCTCTGACTGTAATTCTTGACACTAGGAAAGAGTATCTGGAAGAACTTATAAAACTAGTATTTCAGATCAAATCGAATAAGTCAGAATCAAATGTCTCAGAAATATCCATCTATCTATGAAAACTTGGTCACTGTGCACCCTCCTTCGATTCAGAATATTGATTACGAGATTTGTGATCAACCATTCTCATTGTTCGGTTGATCTTGATCGTAGCAGACCAATCCATCAGAATAGGAATAACATTCGCATTAGATCGAAGTGGTGTGATTTTTTGAAATAAATTTCTTGTCTCCTTTCGTGTGAAAACGTGTATTTTCTATTCCTGCCGTTCGACAATTCACTTGATGGGTGCACATGGTAGCTGCTTATGATATGTATTAAGGTATAAAAAATAATTATAAGAATAATGACATGCATATGAGAAGGAAAGTTAAACCATTTATCTATAAAAGAGCAAAATATGTTAGAAGCATAGCGTCTTCTCATCTTTTATCAAAAATATGGAGCATACTGCATGTAGGGGTGAGAATTTATTGTTATTTGTCATTAATAAGAGATCCATAACAAAGAAGATTTTTTTTCAAAAAACTCCTATTTTGCCTTTTTATCTTTTCGAATGATATTCATTATGCTCAGAGCTCGAACAAAGCACTTTGAGGAACTGATCGATCGGAATTTAATCAGCTATTTACAACTTTCCAACTATCTGGAACTGATTTCTATAACTTTTTGAGACTACATAGAGGTAACTATTACAGATCCGTAGGGTTTATATAGGGACATCCTCTTTAGGACCTTAGATCCTGTATCTGGGCGCTTTTCATAAGTTCTTACGGGCTATATATGGGTACCGTCTATAAGTCCTTAGGACATGTACAATAGTTCAAAAAAAACTTGGAACAATTTCTCAACACAAATAATCAATGTTCTCTGGTTTCGCTGAGACTTGATTTTGCGATTAATGTAGATTTATGTTAAACAGATTATCTACAAAAATCATTAATACGTTTGACCGATTTCTATTTCACTGTTGGATCATAATAACCTGGCATACTAAGAGAGAAACACTTTAAAAACACATCATATTTACCAATTATGCTATCGGAATATGAGAATTCGTTCCGCAGGAAAAACTATCGATATACAAAGATGCCACTATATAAAATGGACTACTAATTTAAAAGTTTCAGACCTCAAGATTTTTGTATAGAATATCGGACAGCTAATAGTCGAAAGTGTATGAAATGAACTCTGGAATGAGAGTCAATTTATTGGATGATATAATAATGTGATATTGAAAGAATTGGCTAAAGACAGCCAAAGAATGACGCGAATAATGTAAACAAACTGTCTTCACCCGCACAATCTCATACCAGCTGAACCTTCTTAAATACGGACATTAAAACAAGCTATAATCAAATTTTGAGCAATGTCATAAAAAGCGATATTACTTGATTATCCGATCAAAAATAAATCGAATCAGATATGAAATTAAATATGCTAAGACTGTAAACCGTAATGCATTAACACATTCGACCCAATGTGAGCCGTCGGTGATTCACGACAGAAAATATTGAATATTTCCACTTTGTTTTAACCACATGAGCTGGTTTTTTCGTCGATGATAGAGAAATATTTAACGTTTTTAGTTATAGGAGAACATCAATGAACACCGCTTTAAGCTTTATAATTTGCTTCAAGAAGCGAAAGCAGCTCTTCAATTTTTGAAAACATAGAATTATATATGTATTCTAAAAGTTACTTTAGATAAGTAAACCATCGTAAATTTAGAAAATTGCCACAAATTAGACTAGTATTTCTCTCAAATCGTAGAGGGATATTTATAATATAATAGGTTTTAAATGAAATTAAATCCATTACAATTCAGAGTTGTCAGGCATGAACATAAGTTTTTTGAAACTTGTACAAAGTCATCTATCTTTCTTGAAGCCAATTATAACATCTTAACACGGCATTTGTTGAAGTTTCTCTTACGAATAAAAACTTTAAACATTCCTCTATCATTGACGAAAAAAAATAGCTCATTTGGTTAAAACAGAGTGGAAATATTCAATCTTTTCTGGCGTGAGCCACCGGTGGGTCACATCGCGAATGTGTTAAATCAAAAAATGTTCTTTAGTAAACAGTTTTTGCAAATCAGTGTATAGGGTATCCTCTATACAGATCTCTGGCTCATTTTATCTAAACTTATGATCTGAGCTAATATGAGTCCTAATCAGTATAGTCAAGACGAAACCGAAGGATTCTCTTTGAGACGAACAGATAATGAATCTAGAAGAATCATCGGTCACAGCTAATAGATTTAGAAATATAAGAAGCTTAAATAAGATTTTTTCGAAAAGAAATGTTGTTATTGATCTGTTATTAATAACAAATAATAATAAATACTATTGTTATTAATAACAATCAGGTAACAATAACTTCTCGCCTTTAACTGATGTATGTCACAAAGTAATCCGTTTGCTAGCAGAGAATGATTTGAGACAGATCCGTCATGGGTAACTTGTCCAAGGTTACTTCATGTGTGTTGGCTCCGCGGTTCTAGCACAATATCTCAGTAGTACGGGTGAAAAAACTTAACTATTCGGTCATGTCGACTAACT